AAACTTTTGGTAATATAGCAAATGTGGACTATATGAAATTGCTAGATTTGGATAGTGCTGCTGATGAGGAATGCTACAGGAGAGCAATTGAAATGCCGCTGTCTCCTTCGCTTCCAAATATTTATATTTCTGGCGCTGAAACATCTGCTTCGAATGAATTTGAGCCTCTAGTAGATGAACTCCATAAAGAATTGCCAGATGAAAGAGAAGGTCAGCCAAAAACACACAGCTACAATGTCATCGATGTTGAGATTAAGTCCAATTATACCCAGTCCTGCGACTTTGACTTGTTAGCAGATATACATAGCAGTAAATGCCAACTAGATCCGTGTTTAATACAAGGGAGACAAGAGAATGATCTTTTTGATGTTGTACAGGCAGGAAATAACTGTCTTGATCAGGTTGGGGTCATTGTAGGGATGCCTGGGACAAATGTTTCTCTTTCTGGTTGTGAAGAGGTGGGAGCATCGGAAATTAAATCTGGAACCCTGGGCAACTCTAACCCTGATTTTTGTGTTCTTTTCTCTAATTCAAAAGACTGTCACAGCATCTTAAAAATATTTTCAGCAACTAGGGCTTGTGTAAAGAGGAGCTCTATAATTACTCAAAAAGAGTGGATGGTGCAAGAGATTTTGGCTTCCCTTAACATGGAGCATGAACTTGTACCAAAGTAAGTGTTTCATTTGCTTTGCAAGTTACATATTTTACATTTCTGTTTTCTGTACCAGGGCAAATACAAATAATTATTGGTTTTAACAAAATGTTTTTCTATTTCATGATCCCTCCTCCCCAAAAAATAAGAGAGATCCTTAAATTTTCATAAGTAGCTTTTTCTATAAGAGAATTTATTGTCTAGTAATGAACTTTCAGGGAGAAGACTTGTGTATTCTTTTCCTTGTTGCTGCTCAACTTCACCGTTGTTGCTGTGCATAAATATGGGAACTTTCTGAACTGCCATACCTGCTTGGATTCTTTTTCAGGGCACATATGTGAAGGTTTACTATTTTCTCTCTCAGTAATTTATTTATTGATGAATTTGCTTTATATGTTTTTTTGTGGTTTCATATCAATGATATTTACCCTATTTCTTTGTCTTCTTTTCCCTTTTCCCTGTTGGCAGCAATGCTTGATGTGGCAATAAGAAGCTTGTTTACTAAATTGCTCTGTTTGGATGCGTTACTTGCCCTTATGGAAGACTTCCTAATAGACGGACGAGTCCTGTCATTTACTGATGCCTCTTTTGAGACATTGACGCAAGGTGTTTTGAGGGTCAATATCCCTATTGATAGTGTAAATAGAACATTGTCACTTACACCAGCATCAACAGACTATTTGATTGCGGGAAGTTCCATCCTAGCGTCAATTTCTAAAGCTGTTCATCGTACTGGTATTCTTTGGGAGATATCATACAGGATTTTAAGAAGCTGCAGGTATGAGTCTTCGTTGATGTTAACAATTCTTCATATTTTTGCACATATTGGTGGAGATCAGTTTTTCAGTTTGGAAGTGTACTCTAATCTGAGGGCTGTCTTGAAATCAATAATCACGCACCTTGAGACAGTCGGTTCTTCAAATGATGCTACTTTCACCCCACTCAAAAGAAATTGCAGAGCAGAGTTTGTTCAATGTGCTAATTGCCCTTTTTCAGAGGAAGGCATGCCTATGCCCATGGTTGTGTCGTTTCTATTGCGATTACTTCAGAAGAATATATCAAATGAAATTATGGATGAAGATTTAGAAAATTCAACTAGTTCATTAAATCTGGAATCCTTGTTCAAGAGGAATTTAGCTAACCAGATTCCATGTAAAAATTCAAGTGGTAAAGAGGTCCATCCGTCAGTGTATTTGGACTGTGATGCATCTTGTTGTTTAAAGAAGTTCAAGGTGTCTGATGATGAACCACGATTTCTCTTCAATCCAACATTGTGTGATGTTACCGATGCCATCTCATTGGTTGAACTGCTAGCATGGTACATGGTACTGGTCCTCACCTTTTTCTCTCGCTTACATTAGTCTGTCAATGGTTTAAGGACTGACCTCTTGGTTCAGCAATTCACTTTGGATATGATGGAATCTGGTCGAGTGTATTGAGAAAGTGATTTTGTCATGATATATTCTATTATTTTTTTTGTTCTAACCAAATAGCCTATAGAGATGCTCTAACAACTTTCATATAGATGTAGAATGGAATCTATCTGTCATCATTTATACCTTTTTACCTTTTTGTTTGGCTAGCGATGAATGAGTGAATTTTTAGGGGGTTAGAGAGGTCGTGGGAAGAGGGTGTTGGCTTATGCCAAGTTTAATGCCAAGATGTCTGTTTGTTTCTTTTCCTTTTATTTTTTGCAATTATGCTGTCGTTGTGGAGTTGTTTGTGTGTGTGTGTGTGTGTTTATAATCTTGATTAGGTCTTTTGGTTTGTTTTGGCTTCATTTTGGGGTGCTGTTTTTGTTTGCTCATTTTGTATTATTTAATTTTTTGTTTTTGATGAATGCTCAGTATCTATAAAAAGGAACAAAAAGTTCATATGGATGATTGTAGGTTTTACTGGACCCATGTCCACCTGCATGTAAGCTTAAGTTATTCTTCAACGAGTGATTGAATACCCAAGAAACTTCCAATTTGTCACATGCATGCTATTATTTCAGTTTATAATCGTCAAGATTCCATCTAATGTTTACTTGCAATGGTAGTAACCTTGAAATAATATCCTTCAAGTCTTGAAGTGGATTACTTTCCCTGAAATAATATCCTTTACTTTCCCTTTCACTGCAATTCATGTAAATGTCCATTTCATTATGTGATAGTTGATATTTAATCTTGAGAGATCTGAATATGACGCTTATCTTGAGATCCGGAAATGAGACTGCTTCTGGTTTGTTTTTCAATTACAGGGCTGGAATTGGACATTCGCTAACATTATCCCTCAGCTGATGGAATTATTGAAGTCATCAGTTAAGAAGGGTTTTGCAATTGTGATTCTTCTTGGTCAACTTGGGAGGTAAAACAGTGCAACTCTCTGGAAATACAAATTCTTTTCTCACGTGTAGTGCTAATAAATCTTGTTCTAAATAGTAAATACATGTTACAAATGAAACTTGTGCAGCCAATGGAAGCTTATAACCTGACATAGAATCTTTATCTCATTTATGCATAGCTTATTGATATGGAACTTTGTGTTGTCTTGGTTACTTCTGTTTTTTTTTCTTCTTTTGCTACCTGAAATGTACCGACATGTTGATGCACAACCGTACTATAGAGGAAATGCACAAATAGTATCATCATTGAAATGTAAATTTTATTTTTGACCAGCTATCCAATTTGCCAATTTTTAATTGCAGATTTGGCGTGGTTGCTGGAGGCTTTGATGATGGAGGAGTTAAAATCTTAAGATCTAATCTATCATCATTTCTTTGCCTGGACACTACCATTAAATCTGGTCTCCCTGTTCAAATTGCCACTGTTTCTTCCTTGTTAGGCCTTCTCCCTTTCGATTTCGAAACAATCGTTCAAGATAAAGTGCGCTATCGAGCCTCTCCGAATCAATATGCCGAGGTCAACTTAATAAAGACGTGGTTTTCTTTATTAAGCCCAAAACAGAAGGAGTTGTCATGCAACATCTTACAAGTTGCTGCTTGCAATGTAAGCTGAGATTTGCTTTCCTTTGTGAGGCGTGGACAAGTAAGAGTTATCACAACCAATTTTTGAAGAGTCACCTGTAGATATTTAGGAAATTGAGGATTTGTGCATATCTTTAGCCTATAGTCTATTTTTCGTTCACACTTTTAAAGAGGGAGGATAAGTACAGTTTTATGTACTGTTTTACTGAGTACATTATCTGAAGCAAGTTTTGTAAATTACCCTAGTAGCTTCCACTTTCATCCTCTCAACTATATGTGCATTTTCTAGAATTTTCGCTCGATTTTTATAACAAAGGTGTCTTGTACTCGAGCATGGCTTCTGTCAAGGAACAAGAGGATGTGAACGTCTAGATTGTATCATAATTTTTGACCTAATTCGTCTCATGCTAGTCGTAAGACTTTCGACAATAAGGATATAACTTAGTTATATTTCGTTTCTTCAACCAAAAACTAGCCATTGACTTATTTTGATGCCCAAAAGAAGTGTATGTTTTGGAGTTCTACGTTGGCTCTTGCTCGCTATTTCTTCTTCTTTCGATTCACCAACCGTGCTTCCATCGATAAGGTCAACTTTTCATGAACCTTTTATAGTTTTTTTCTGGTCACATCCTGTTCTACCTAACTCTCTTCCTTCACATTGTCTTCATCTTTTTGGTTGTTTTCCATTACCTTTACATCTGCATTCTTTTTGTTCCATATCTTAATATTTTCCATTACGTTTGGACTTTTGTTCAGATCATTTTAGATCTATAGTAGTGGAGTTATGGGCAGACGAGGGTAGTGCAGCAATATGATAAAGGCCGACAAAGGTGGGGAAAGGAAAACAAGCATTCAAAATACGCATATTAAAGCGTTCGAATTCTAACACTTGTTCGAAACGTAGTAGACACTCACAACACAGCTTAAAAGACGAGAAGATGAGTAGACAATTTATATGAACATTCATCAATATACTTAGCGATTCATGTAGCCAACTATTCATGTGTTTAATTAAATTTAATTCATGTATTTTGAAAACGCGTCGAGATTAATTCTAACACAATCATGGCATGTCTATTCACTTCGTATTGTTTCATATAATTTGGGATGCACTACAAAATGAGATGAATTTATATAACTTTTGATGTTCATGGCTTCCATTACTCTTAGAACGAGTTTACTACTGTTCAATAGAAAAGGAAAAGGAACAGCTTTACAGGAGAAAGAGCAGTTCAAGAATCAAAATAGTCGGGTGCCTGGCTGATGAAATACTCAGAATGACCAGAGTGCCTAACCCTTGAGGTGAGGTCAAGGACATTGATAGGGAAATGTACGCGCACGCACTTGGAGACGTTTCAGATGCGATAAAAAAGCCTATTCTTTTGCTATCAATATTAAAAGTAGTATCCCACATCGGCCCTTTCTAAACCCACCACTCTAATATTCTCAATCCACTCTTTATATAAGAAAAGTAACCACAAAAGAAAGAAAACTCCTCAAAAAAAGGTGAAAAACCATTATTCAATCTCTTAGAACACTAAAAACTCAATCCCACATCGGATTTTTTTAGTTAGAACCCCTTCTTTTGGATCTTTTTAGTTCTTCCCAAGGAAGGAATGCTCTGTTCATGCCAGAAAAAGTTATCAGGATCAACTTTTGTCTTAATCTCCACAAGCCTGTTGAAGTTGTCCTTGAAATACTTACTCCCCCACTCACTGGCCTCAGCCAAGCTCATGTTGTTCTTCATGTTCATACCCAAATCAAGATCTCTATAGTTCACATAAGCAGCTCTTGGAGCCTTGGAAACATATGGAGCCATGTAGTTATAAAGCTCTCTGATCCATTCAATGTGTTTTGCAGCATGTCTGTTTCCACCCTGCCATAAGCTTAAATACTGAATCTTGAATAAGTTCCCTTTCCGATGTGGGAATGGGATTTCACTCTCTGAGATCTTGCTCATCATTCCTCCATAAGGGTTCAAGATCATAAGAGGGCTGTCTTCAACCAGCAATCTTTTCCACAGACCTTCCAGCCCAGTTTCTGGAATTGGGATTTGAACAAAATCTGATTTTGCTTTGAAATAGTTCTTGAATTGTGGCTTTCCTTGTAGAAGAACTTCAGGAGGTGTTTTAATGGATTCTCCTGCTATGTAAAGAACTGATTTGATCCAGCTCGTTTCAATGCAATCTTTTGGTGTTAAACCCAATTCAGGGAAGCTTTTCTCCATAACTTGGAGGAGTGTTTTGGAATCACCAAGAAAAAGAGCATTGTAAGCTGTTGAAATGGTTCTTTTCTTGGTGGGTTTATCAATGGTTGCTTGGATTATGACTCTAATGAACAAATCTTCATCTAACTTGTCTGCAATTTGCTGCCATTTGTAGAGGATTTGAGTGGCACCTTGCTCCAAGATCTTTGGAACAGTGAAAACTGTCACAGTTTCAGGAACAGGAACCAGCTGCAACTTCCACCAAAGAATAATCCCAAAGCTGCCTCCAGCACCACCTCTAATGGCCCAAAAATAGTCCTCTCCCATCGTCGATCGATCGAGAATTCTACCGTTAACGTCGACGATCCGAGCATCGACGACGTTATCAGCAGCAAGGCCATATTTTCGCATCATGGAGCCATATGCACCTCCTGTTATGTGTCCACCAATGCCTAAGCTAGTGCAAAGGCCAGCAGGGAAGCCATGGACATTACTTTTCTCTGAGATTCTATAGTAAACTTCACCAACCGTTGCACCAGCCTGAACCCATGCAGTGTTATCTTGGATATTCACTTGGACCGACCGGAGTTTCGCGAGGTCTAGAACGACGAATGGAGTTCCGATTTCGGAAGCATAAGAAAGACCCTCGTAGTCATGGCCGCCGCTACGCACTCGGAGATGTATCCGAAGCTTGTTCGAGCAAATTACGGCTGCTTGGACATGAGTGTCATGTAATGGAGTGAAGATAAATTCAGGCTTTGGAAGTGATGGATCTAAGTATCTGAGGTTTTGTGCTGTTGATTGAAGGAGAGTGAAGAATGAAGCATTGTTTTGAGCACAAACAGAGAAGGGAGGGATGGTTTGTTGGGAGTTCATAGCCAAACATTGCACAAAGCTTTGCTCCATTGAAGCTGAGCTTGAAAGTGAAAGGGAGAGCAGAGAGGCAAGAAGAAGGAACATGGAAGAGCCTGAGTGCACCATGGCTTGCTGTTTTGCTTATGATAAAGCTATGAAGTTTGAGATGATGGCTTAAGAACTGATATATATATATAGCTGTTTTGAGTGACAATATGTTGGTTTGGTTAACGTGTATATGAGCTAAGCCAAGCGTCATGCAAATTTAAAAATCAATTTGTCTTAAAAGAACGTTGTTTTGTTGATAACTGAGCGGTTATTGACATATATTGTAATAGCCTAAGCTCACTACTAGCCGATATTGTTTTATTTGGATTTTCTTTCAAGGTTTTTGAAACACGTTTGTTAAGGAGAGGTTTCCACACGCTTATAAAGAATGATTTGTTCCACTCTTCAACGTGAGATCTCACCATCCACCTTTCTTTGGGGCCCAATGTCCGTACTGACACTTGTTTCTCTCTCCAACCAAGGTGGGATCTCACAATCCGCCCTTATTTGGGGCTGAGCATCCTTGCTAGCACTCGTTCTTCTCTCCAATTGATGTGGAATCTCACAATTCACCCTTGTTTGGGACCTAGCGTCCTCGCTGACACTTGTTTGTCTCTCCAACCGATGTGAGATCTCACAATTCACCATTCTTTGGGGCCGAGCGTCTTTGCTAGCACTCATTCCTCTCTCTCCAACCGATGTGGGCTCTCGCAATTCACCCTTATTTGAGACCCAGTTTACTCGTTGACACTCGTTTCTCTCTCCAATCGATGTGGGATCTTACAATCCATCGTTTTTTAGGGTCGAGCGTTTTCGTTGACACTCATTCCTCTCTCCAACTGACGTGAGATCTCACAATCCACCATTCTTTGAGCCAAACGTCCTTCCTACCCCTTGTTCCTCTCTCCAACTGATGTGAGATCTCACAATCCACCCTAGCCGAGCGTCCTTGCTGCCACTCGTTTCTCTCTCCAACTGATGTGGGATCTCACAATCCATCGTTCTTTGGGTCTGAGCGTCCCCGCTAGCACTAGTTCCTTTCTACCGCCGATGTGGGATCTCCTGAACCTTAGATTTTAGGTTTAATAGGTTTTAACATATTTGATACTTTTTAACGTTAGGAATTTATTGGACACAAAATTAAAAAAAAAAAAATTACCTTTTTACTCCACAAAATAATTATTTTTTTTTAATGTCTAATAAATTTGTTAATTTTAATTTTTTAAATTAAAGGACTTGATAAATAAAACATATCAAGTTTAAGGACTAAAGGACTAAATTGTAATTTAAAGTTATTAGAATATTTTATTTTATATAAAGGAATTCCCATATATATTTATTAATTTTTCAGTCAAGAAAGTAGGAGAGAGAAAGAGTGCTATTTTTCACCGTCAACCTCAGTGAAAGACACGTTCTGTTATTTATTTATTTATTTATTTTTAATTTTTATAGTTTAAAATATTCTTCTCACTCAGTTTATTCATACAAATGGGTAATTTCTTTGACCAACCACTTTATTTGTAGTCAATTATATGAATTTAATTGTTTTAAAAATTGATTAAAAAAATATTATTTTGAAATTAATTTAGAAAATATTACACACTTTTTTAATAATTATTAGGCTTCATTTTAATAGTTAATTTAGCTTTTTTTAATTAAATAAATAACAAATTATATATTTCTCCACCTTTTTTTTATTAATTTTTTTCCTTTTCTTAATCAATTAAAACTTCAAATTAATAATTATATTTATTTAAGAATTAATTTGAATAATCTGTTAGTAATTGGTAGCCATTTTTTTACTTAATTTCTTTTAAATTTAATCAATATTACCTAATAAAATTATAAAAATTTGTCTTTTAAGCTTTATATTTAAGAATTACATTAATTTATAGTTATATTAAAAACTCGACGTTTAATTAATCTTATCCTACTACATATGGCTCGTTCACATCAACATCGAGAACTCGAATCCCGAACCAAAAGAAAAAAAGAAATTTAATAATTTAAATAAAGTTGATAATTCTTTTGTTTTTTTATTCATTATAAGCATGACAATATCAACTTTCTTTTGGGGTTTGGAAGAGACTTTGATTTGTGGGATATCAATGTTGAAAAAGTTGCTAAATCAGCGCTACGACTTTTAATTTGTTTACCAAACCATCGTTCCAAAAGTGAAACTTTGTTAGACGTCCAACGTTCTCGTTGATACATCGATTGATGTCTTATTCTATACCATTTGTAACAGCTCAAGCTCATTGCTAGTAACTTTTTTAGGGGCTAGCGTCCTCGCTAGCACACTGCCCAGTATCTAGTTTTGATACCATAACAGCTCAAACCCACCGCTAGCAACTCATTTGAGAGCTAGTGTTCTCGATAGCAGATCGTTCGGTGTCTTGTTATAATACGATTGGTAACCACTCAAACTCAACGCTAGCAAATATCGTCTTCTTTGAATGTTCTCTTTCGAGCTTCCCTTCAAAGTTTTAAAACACGTGGGATCGACCAATTTAATTTAATTAATTTATAATATTTTCCACCTGCCCAAAAAGCAAATTGTTGGTTTTATACATGACTTTTGTAAAAGGCCAAATGTTGTTCTTAGGGAATTAGTGTTACAATTGGGAGTTGGCCAAATGTTCAAAATGCACATACACATATAGGTTCCCCGTTCATACCCTAACACTTTGATTCTTGGATCTCATCATTACTTTGAAAATTAAAACTTGGGTTCCATTGATCTTCATACGAGGATCTAGAATGGGTCATACGTGTTCGTGTTATAAATAGTTCGTTCGTATGACCATTTATAACTTGAACAACCCGAACATACCCGATTCAAAAAATTTCTAATTGAGTTAGGTTGAGTTCATTATTTAATAAGAGTTTGTTTGAGTTGAAAAAATTTATAATCTGAACAACTGAGTTGAGTTGAAAAAATGTCCCAACTCGAACCAACCGAACCGACAAGTACCCCTAAACCAAAATGAGCCCTACCCTCGAGAGAAACTTAATATTTGATTAGATCATAAGTAGATTATTTATTAAATAATTAATGGTACTTTATGGTAAAACGAATTTTTGGCCAAAATATAATTATGTACATCTCGTGAGGATTAACTTTCATGAAATGGTTATATGGATGGAAACAACTTATTCAAAAAATGCATGTAATGACTTATACCCAATATTTAAATAAAGATTTAAAATTTGAATTTGGCACTTGATGATCGTGACATTTCCCCACGATATAGTCACGTTACTTACTACTTGTTTTTTTAGAGCGAAGACCTATCTCCACCGACCGACACGAGTCTTGTCTGCATGTTTTGTCCTCACTCACATGTTTTCTAGAAAAATTCTCAAAAAGTCACTGGAAATAGAATTGTTCCACAGAAAACATGTTTAATTTTAGAATTTCCATGATCGAGCCACTAAAAAAGTAGGTCTACCTTGTTGCTATAGGTTACCGCTTTCAATTCTTTTAAGATTTCTTAGTCATCCTATCTTCAGGACCGTTCTCATTCGGAGCAGTCCTAGTTCATTCATGTACTCCTCCTTTACTTGAGTGTCACAGTGCATAAGAGTGCAAGTCTAGGTCGGTCTACCGTGGAGTGACCTAAAGTTAATAAATAAAAATTAATTGATTAAAGAGTTTAATTAGTTAATTTTATACGATTGGAAGTTTATATTCTATTAGTTTATTTAATATTCTTTCGGACTCATAACAAGTACAAAAATACGAAATTTCAAATTAATTTTTAATATATGTGATACATTAAATGTAAATAAAAAATATATATTTAATTAGAAGGGTTGAAATTAACCTTTCTCTTCTGTATTCGAGTCATTGTAAGAAAGATCTCGTGGTCGAGATTCAACCTTATTGTACGTAAAGCACAACTATATTAAAAACGACTAAATATTCCCGTAAATTTTTTTTTAGTTTAATTCTGAAGAAAAACTTTATCCCAACATACATGGTTGCCTCGAGAGAAGTTTTTTCTCACTCGTCTCTTTAAATGGTAGTATTTCATTTTATTTAGCTGTCTCCTTCTCACCCGTCCCTTTAAATGGTAGTATTTATTTTATTTAGCCTTACACGTCTCTTTGTATGGTAGAATTTTTATTTTATTTAACTGTTTACTTCTCACTCGTCTCTTTAAATAGTACAAATGCCAGCGGTTGAGAAATTCAATCTAAGATATATCTATATTTATATATATATATATAGATATAAGAGAGATATCGTAATTACTGAACTATACTGAAATTGACAAAAAAATAATCTTATTTCATTCTTCGACATCTCTTTGATTTGCGTTTATTACAAAAACGAGACGCCTTTAAGAACGGTAGAGGGACGGAGGAATGCTTTGTTCATTCCAAAAGAAATTGAAAGGATCAACTTTGGTCTTAACCCTCACCAATCTCTCAAAATTACTTCTATAATACTTCAAACCCCACACTTCAGCCTCTTCATACCTTACATTTCTTCCATAATTCCTCCCCAAATCAAGATCTCTATAGTTCAAATAAGCACCTCTTGGATCCTTTGAAACATAGGGTTCCATATATGCATAAACCTCCCTTATCCAACTCAAATGCTTGTAGCTTTCACTACCATTTTCCCAACTCACCATATATTGAATCCCAAAAATGTTCCCTTTTCTATGAGGAAAAGGGGTTTCCAACTCAGAAATTTGGCTCATTTTTCCTCCATATGGTGTCAAAATCAAGTATGATCCTTCTTCTTCTAACACCTTATTCCAAAGCCCTTCCAACCCATTTTGAGGAATTGGGTATGTCACAAAATCCGATTTTGCTTTGAAAAACGCATTGGAAAGTGATTTTTTAAGCAAAATTTGAGGTGGGGTCTGTATAGGGAAGCCAGCAAAGAAGAGAATTGATTGAATCCAATTCATTTCAGTGTAGTTTTCTCTTTGCAATACCAATTCTGGGAATTGGGTGTTCATAAGAGGTATGAGTTTCTCAATTGGACCAAGAAATAATGCCACAAATGAAAGGGAAATTGTTTGTTCTTGAACGCCTATGGTGACATGAAGGAAGAGATCTTCATCAAGTTTGTATGCAATTCTTTGCCATTTTTGGAAGAGCTGAATTGCGCCTTGTTTGGGAGTTTTTTGAACGTGGAAAATTGTGAGTTTTGGTGGTAAACAAACTAGCTTGAGCTTCCATGATAATATCACTCCAAAACTTGCCCCTCCACCGCCTCTAATGGCCCAAAAAAGCTCCTCTCCCATGGTGTTTCTGTCCATGATTCTTCCGTTGAAGTCCACAATCTTAGCATCGATTACGTTATCAGCTGCAAGGCCATGTTTTCTGAAGAGGGTTCCAAAGCCTCCTCCACTTATATGCCCTCCTACCCCTACTGTGGGGCAGCTTCCTGCTGGGAATCCATGGATGAGGCTTTTCTCAGCTATTCTATAGTATAACTCGCCGAGCGTGGCACCAGTCTCCACGGAGGCGGTTTCGGTCTCGATGTCGATATCGATGGAGTGAAGGTTGGAAAGATCAAGAAGGATGAATTGAGATTGTGATGATACGTAAGAAAGACCTATTAAGAATGCAAGTAAGTGATTAGATATAGCTAGTAATAGTGTAATTTGATATTTCAGAGCACGAAATATTGCGTTTGATAACTTGGGTTTGTTGAGGATCGTTGGAAGGGAGTCCCACGTTAGCTAATTTAGGGGATTATGGGTTTATAAATAAAAAATACATCTCTATTGGTATGAAGGCATTTTGGGGAAACCGAAAAGAAAGCCTTATGCTCAAAGTGGACAATATCATACTATTGTGGAGAGTCGTGATTCCTAACATGGTATTAGAGCCATACCCTTAACTTAGCCATGTTAATAGAATTCTTAAGTGTTGAACAAAGAGTGTACTTTGTTCGACGACTTTAGAGAAGGAGTCAAGCCTCGATTAAAGGGAGGCTGTTCGAGGGCTCCACAGGCTTCTGGAAAGGCGCTATAGTGTACTTTGTTCGAGGGGAGGATTTGTAAGAAATACATCTCCATTGGTATGAAACCTTTTGGAGAAACAAAAAACAAAACTACGAGAGCTTATGCTCAAGGTAGATAATATTATACTACTATGAAGAGTCTTGATTTCTAACCGGGTTAATAGTAACTTATCAAATCATATCTAGTGAATATTGATAAATAACTAAATAGAGTATAACCCATCAACTTAAACTTTTGAAATCATCGGTACGTTAACAATACCTTCATAGTCATGTCCACCACTCCTTACTCGGAGCTGCAAACCCTTCTTCTGGGCGCAAACGACTGCGGCTTGAACATGTGATTCATGAAATGGGGTCACCAAGAACAATGGTTTTGAAGAAGTGTTGAGAAACCTTAGATTTCTTATGGATTGTTGCAAGAGAGAGGAGAAGGAAGCACTTTCATTTGTAAAAACCACTTTAGAAATGGGTATTGATTGAGGTGAAGAATAAGAACTAAAGCACTCCACAAAGCTTTGTTGAAGAGCATGAGAAGGAGAAGAAGAAGACAGCCAAATCAAAGGAAGATAGAAGAGAAGAATCCCCATCATGTCTTGTCTTCTTTTTTATGCTTTTAATGAAAGTTTGAGTTATAAATGAGGTTGCAATGTGGAACAATGTTGGAATAATTTGGTGGTTTTGTGAAGAAAATGCCACACGACCATAGTTTTCCCCAAAAATAGTACGAGGAGAAGAATTTTAGGTACTAGGTTACCTTGTTCTTTGGCCTGCAATATATAAATTCCATTGATTGAAGTCAAATGTAATGAATACACTTTTAACATTTAGTTACAAATTTGAATACCATTCCATAATTTTTGTTTGTTTGCACGTAATATATGGCAATCTATTGAAAATTTAAGATAATTTCTTTAAAATTTTAATTTCCATTTTTAAATTTTTAAATTTTTTTATTCACAACATAGGTTTGGGTTTAACACCTCGTGATCTTATCATTGCCTTTGCATCCCTCTCGATCGTGTTTCAATTTTAACCCTTATTGAGTTTGCAATTTAAACTGTCTAACAAGTTTTCGCTCCAAATATCGTTATGTTTTTTTTTTTGTTCTACTCTTAACTCAGTATATTTATGCGTGTTTTGTTGGAGAGATAATCCTATTAATCACCTTCTATGCAAGTTTGACAGAGAGATAATATTTGTGCTTTGTTGGAGAGATAACATCTATCAATTATCCGAACCACAGATTACAGCATCCATTCTTACTTTTTAGCACAGTAAAAAACATTAAACATAGCATGATACAAAATATACTCGATGCTAATATGTCATAGCAATCCCTACAAGTATAATTTGAAGAAAGACCAAATGATTTACTTAGACAATGCATTCCCTTCTCAAATTTACTTTTACGCTTGCCAAGAGCTTTGGATTTTATAAAATTTCTTTGGTAGATCCTAATTTATATTAAATTAAGGTCGATATTGAAATTGAGGAAAAAAAAAAAAAAAAACAGATGAATGAGAGTTGAAACGGATGAAAAAGGCAACCTCACTCACGGTGGAAAGGTTGTCCATGCGCGTTTGAGAGGAGTACTCGCACTTATTGCGTGACATGTGTTCGTCACCGATTGGCGCATTCGCTTCTAATCGATTGAATTTCGAACCTCTGTTGGCATAGCTTTTCGTCGCTTTTCTTTGAATGACTAGTGTCCTCCTCTGTTGCCCGGCATGTGGCATGCTCTCTGTCTCTTTTCGTATGAGCCTTTTGATCTTCATGAGTGTGTCTGCAATTGAATTTCGTGTTTTTAAGATTTTTTCTAGATTCGATCAGGTTTTCTTGTTCTTTCTATTTTCTTTTGTTTTTAACTCCGATTCGTTCCTTCACAAAGTTGAAGAATTTTAATCTAGCTTTTCAACGAAACTGATTTCATTAGTTATGGAAGAAAATAAACACATTCAAGGTTGACCAAAAACTAGCAAACTGGCCATTCTTGAGGCTTGTCGGAACTCTGTGGTGGGCTGAGGTGTAGACGCGTGTTGAATGGTGGTAGGTGTGCACGAGCCGATGCAGTAATGGCGGTGGTAGGTGTTCTCGTCTTTTTCCTTCTCTACCTCTCGATTGACCTCTCTGCTTCACTTCCACGGAGTCTTGTGACTTGTAAACACCTACATTGATAGATCCATGAGACCCCAAAAAACCTAGGCTTGAATTCCATTTCCGACGAAGAATGGATGCTGTTAAAGCATGAAACGTACCTTAGGTGTACGTACAGTCGTCGACGATCTCTTTTGTGGCATGGGTTGGTCGTTCTAGGCATTTAGTTCGTCGATTTAGTCTTGCTGGAAAACGTTTTCGAAATCTCTCTCTACCTCGTGTTTTCCCTCTTTGTTCTCTATTGCAGGTGTTCATGGGAAGTCCAGCTGAAGGTGCCGTCTCGAGAGTTTTGGGGGCGTGCATACTGTTAAAGATCACGTATTTGTTTAGATTGCTGTCAGTTAGTATCTAATTAAATCTCCGTTAGGAGTTACATACAGTTTTTTTATTTGATTTAGTTTTGATTTGATTAGATTTTATTTTGATTTGTTTACTGGTTTGTTACCAGATTTTCTGCAGATTTTTAGGTAGATTTTCTGAATATCTTTTGTATTCTCTGTATAAATATGGAGCATTCTTGCTCTTCATAATTCAATCATCTCATCTACCATTCAATAAATCCCTCTTTCACTAACAATTGGTATCAGAGCTATCTTCTTAAGGGATTTGTGAGATCAAAATGGGAGAATCAAGTTTTTCAGCGGTTGCACCACCGGTCTTTGATGGAGACAATTATCAAATGTGGGCAGTTCGTATGGAGACTTATTTGGAGGCTTTGGATCTTTGGGAAGCAATAGAAGAGGATTACGAGGTCCCTCCGCTTCCAGCAAATCCTACTGTAGCACAAATCAAATTACAGAAGGAAAAGAAGACAAGGAAATCAAAGGCAGAAGCTTGCCTATTTGCCGCTGTATCTGAAATGATCTTCATGCGAATAATGTCCCTTAAAACAGCAAAAGAAATCTGGGATTATCTCAAGTCCGAATATGAAGGAGATGAGAGGATTCGTGGAATGAAAGTCCTGAATTTGATCAGGGATTTCGAGTTGCAGAAGATGAAGGAGTCAGAGTCGGTAAAAGAGTACTCTAACAGACTTCTCAGCATCGCCAATAAGGTGAGATTGCTTGGTTCTGTATTAAATGATTCCAGGATCGTTGAAAAGCTGCTGGTCACTCTTCCAGAGAAGTTTGAAGCCACCATTACTACTCTGGAGAACACTAAAGACTTGTCAAAGATTTCTCTTACAGAGCTCTTGAATGCTTTACAAGCGCAAGAGCAAAGGAGGTCTATGAGACAAGAAGGGGTGATTGAAGGTGCCTTACTTGTTAAGCATCAAGACAGCCGCAGGTATAAAAGCAACAAAAATTTCAAAAATCAATTGACGTATGGAGATTCATTTGCCAATTATCAAAAGACAAAAGGAGGAGGTTTCAAAAAATCCTATCCACCTTGCCGCCATTGTGAGAAGAAAGGTCATCCACCATACAAGTTTTGGAGAAAACCTGACGCCTTCTACTCCAAATGCAATCAACTTGGACATGAAGCTGTGATCTGCAAAGCCAAAGATTTGGTGAAAGAAGTAGATGCACAGGTCGTTCTTCAAGAAGAAGAAGAAGAAGAAGAAGATCAATTGTTTATGGTCACTTCTTCCTCAAGCAAAGAATCAAGCAAGAGCTGGTTGATTGACCGTGGGTGCACAAATCACATGACATATGACAAGGAGTCTTTTGAGGAATTAAGAGACACCGAAGATAAGAGAGTGAGGATTGACAATGGTGAACACTTGAAAGTAAAGGGAAAAGGCACAATAGCTATAACAAGCTATGAAGGTACAAAATTTATTCCAGATGTTTTATTTGTGCCTAAAATTGATCAAAATCTCTTGAGCGTTGGTCAGTTACTTAATAAAGGTTATAAAGTGTTGTTTGAGAATAAGCGGTGCTTGATCAAAGATGCTAGTGGCAAAGACTTGTTCAACGTCAAAATGAAAGGAAAAAGCTTTGCTCTAAATCCGACGGCCTTTATATCCAGAGCTGGTGCCACTGGGACTTGGCACAAAAGACTTGGGCACTTTCATCATCGAGGTTTGTTTCAGATACAGTCAAAGAAGCTGGTAGAAGAACTCACTGACATTGATGATGACATGTCTCCTTACCGTGCTTGTAATTTTGGGAAGCAACATAGGCAACCCCTTCCTAAACAGGCATGGAGAGGCTCGAAAAAGCTGCAACTGGTTCATGCTGATCTTTGTGGTCCTCAGCGAACACCATCATTAAATGATAATCTTTATTACATTGCTTTTATTAATGAACTAACAAGAAAGTGTTGGATATTCTTGCTGAAGCAAAAGTCAGAAGTTGCGGGTGTATTTTGGAAATTCAAAGCCAAAGTTGAGAAGGAAAGTGCATGCTTGATTCAGACTATAAGATCAGATAATAGCAAGGAGTACACTTTAGAAACTTTTAACAGGTTTTGTGAAGAGACTGGAATTGAACATCAATTGACAGCATCATACACTCCTCAACAGAATGACGTCAGTGAAAGGAGGAATAGATTCATTATGGAGATGACGAGATGCATGCTTCATGAGAAGGATCTTCCAAAGCGTTTTTGGGGAAAAGCAACAAACACTATTATGTGCTTGCAAAATCGAATTTCAACAAAAGTTGTGAAGGACCCGACACCATTTGAAGTTTGGTATGGTTACAAACCTTCTTCAAAGTTCGTTAGAGTATTTGGGTGTCTTTGCTTCATTTACATTCCACAGGTCAAGCGTGATAAGCTTGACAAAAAGTCAGAAGTTGGCATCTTTGTTGGCATGTTAGAAGAGTCTAAAGATGAACGACAAGATGCTTTGGTTGATGATGCACCTGTCCGAGGAGGAGCTTTCAGTGATCGAGAAAAACAAAATCTGGGAGTTGGTTGATCGACCTCTAAACAGAAAAATAATTGGCGCAAGATGGGTGTTCAAAAAAAAAAAAAAAAAAAGCTTGGAGTTCACAGCATCTAAACAAAGAGGAGTGTTAAAGATCACGTATTTGTTTAGATTGCTGTCAGTTAGTATCTAATTAAATCTCCGTTAGGAGTTACATACAGTTTTTTATTTGATTTAGTTTTGATTTGATTAGATTTTATTTTGATTTGTTTACTGGTTTGTTACCAGATTTTCTTCAGATTTTTAGGTAGATTTTCTGAATATCTTTTGTATTCTCTGTACGGGAGCATTCTTGCTCTTCATAATTCAATCATCTCATCTACCATTCAATAAATCCCTCTTTCACTAACACATGCGTTTCTTCAGACCGATGCTTGAGAACTCCGGCACCACGCTTTCACTAACACATGCGTTTCTTCAGACCGATGCTTGAGAACTCCGGCACCACGCCAAAATTCTCGAGAATTTTGATGATTTTTTTTTTGTTTTGTTTCGTTTTTTTAGACGAGTTTAGGGACTTCATAAACATATATAGTGCATGATTGTCGTCAGCTCGTACTAAAGTGTTGGATTAAGTCCCATAAAACTTAGTAGAAACGTTACGTCATGTCAAATTATTTTATTTTTATAAGCATAAAAACTAGCTAAATTTTGAAATTAAGTAGAAAATCAGATTTTATCAATTATCTTTTTCATATATTTTCCACAGGGAAAAAAAATCTGCTATGAAATTTCAAAGGTTTGGTTTAATTATTGACGGGAAACTTGGAGATATCAGTCATGATCATCAATGGTAGCGACTTCCGTTATCCAACAAAGACTTTTTGGACACTCTCCAAACACTTAGCCATCCACATCTTGCTAAGTTTGTTAACATTTTTCGAACAATGAACATACAAACCTTCTATAAATAAAAACAATAGATTTAAATCCAAAAATGATAAAAAATTAATATGATCAAGATCAAAAGTAAAGAAAACTCGTGATTCGAATCATTGTACAAGAAGTTTGATCAACACTATCTAAATAACTTTTAACATGCAAGTTCTAAAACACAAGAATTTGCAAAGTAAAAAACTTAATTCTCAACCAAGCTAAAATAGAAACTCTATTCTTTTCGATTCAAAATGTGATGTAAGAAAGGAAGACTTTATAAAGCGTTTCACAACTTTAACCTATACGAGTTAAATACTCACATAACATTTACATTAAAGATAAAATATTGTAACCTACTTAGGCTACAGTATAACTTTAACTTCGATATTAAAATGAACTTAAAAGATATATAAATATTGAAACTACAATTAAAATAATACAATAAAAGAAATGTAGGGTATATTAACCATCTCTAGACTAAGTTCCATAAATTAAACTATTGAGTTCATTGAAGTTCAACTTTGCAAAAGACTCATCATATTCTAGAATTTTGTAACAATCCAAGTCCACCGCTAGCAAATATTGTCCTCTTTCGGCTCTCCCTTTCGGGCATCCCCTTAAAGTTGTAAAATGATTCTAGTAGGGAGAGATTTCCACACCTATACAAGTATGTTTTGTTCCCTTTCCAACTAATGTTCAGTGTCTAGCTCGAGTACTATTTGTAACCACTCAAGCCCACTGCTAGTAGATATTGATTGTTTTGACCGTTACGTACCGTTATCAGTCTCAAAATTTTAAAACGTGTATGCTAAGAAGAGGTTTCTACGTACTTACAAAATAAATAAGTATTTATGGTTTCTTTTTAATTGTCGATTCAACTACTCTTCTAGGGTACTCAATCAAAATACTCATTCTTTTTTATTTTTCCAAATGCATTAATGGGTTGATGGATAAAGTTTAGCTTCCATTTTAATATGAAGATTCAAAGAGGATGTCATTTATTAAGGTTATATGGTCACTAATTCTAAGTGTTTTTAAAAACAAATCTTTATGGCATTTCATCGTTGTAATTTATCATAGTCATGTTTGTCCAAGGCGTATTGCCTATGGTCGCATGTTGGATGTCTTAGTCATGCTTGTCCAGGACGTGTTGTCCAAAGCCGTATACCCGTTCCAAACCCTTTTTACTTTCTTTCATCTTAGATAGACATTTACTATTTCATGTTGTGTCAATACCGGGTGTATGTCGGTCACCAAAATCATGTCTATATTCTCTAAGGCCAAAATGACCTAAAATGTATAGAGGATATGACTAGTTGTCAATTCTTTCTACTTGGGTTAAATGTTATCAAAGTCGTTGTTGTTGCCTACTGGCTTTTAGCTTATAATAACATAACTTTCTTTATAATTGTTTTCAATGTATTTCAAAATATTTCTCTCAAACATGAATCAAGGCTCGAACATATGTCAATATTGTTTGCAAAGTTTGAATTTCACACAACTGACTTATTCGCTGAATTAGAACAAGTGTCGCACAATCGTTGTCCTATTGTCACAAGGGTACGATTGTGACACCGTGCAACCTAGAAATGACTTCAAAGATCAAGATGAAATCAATGTTGTTTTTAAGACAAAAAAAGAAATACAAAACCATCCAAGTCTAGCTTACTAGAGAAGTTGGAAAAATAAATAATTCAATGCCGAGATCGAAGTACGGTAAACCATAGTTGATAACAGTTTGATTTTTAGTTTTTGACAAGAATACTTTCAAAGAACTAATGGTTATAAGTAAGTAGCTTGATGATGATAATTAAGCTAACATGTCAGAGTTACCTACTGACACAACTAGTTAATGTTTTAGTGCACCGTAGGTAAAAACACGATAATATTCATGGTGCTGCTTCAGGATTCTAATGTACTACATCCAAGGTCAGAACGAGCTTACTGCAAGCAACGATAACTCCGAAACACTTGCTAGAAATGTCGACGTTTAATTTCCCTGAAGAAAAGTATGAAGTTTCATTAAATGATGGGTGGCCATTGGGCTACAATAGCAGACAGGTCACATGTTAGAATATTTGGTGACCCGATTGGGAGGGTGACATGAGCGAAAAATGAAGAGCTCAAAGAAGAGAAAGGCCTTGTTTTTCTCATACTTTGGCCATAGGATATGTATCATGTATTAATGTTCCATTTCATAATCAATGAAAATCGAAGTTTTGACTTGATCAATCGAAGTTTTAAATGTGTTTTAGACCTTTAGCTCACGTCTTCTTCTACGTCCTTCGACTCTCTCTCTCTCCCTTCACGTCGTACCACTTGCCTAAAGTGATCTTCTTTTGTGTAATGACTCATATTTGCTATACTTATACCAACAAGTTACTGTCAGAAAAATATAACAAAATTGATTCATTTATATAAGCAACTCTCTTTATTGAGCTTATGATATACACATCTAGAGTATGAGCCCCATAGCCCCTTAGTTTCAGTATGCACTCGTTACGAATCGTTCAAGCTCAGCTATTATCCGAAAAAGAAAAGTAGCTCATTTATAGGCTTATAATTAGATATAAATCCCATACAAAATCAATGGATTATGTATTTACCTTATATGTATTCCAATAGTGGTAACCTAAACTCTCAATCATAGATTATCTATCAAAATAACTACATATACGACTTGACCTTCTCCTCCGAGCCAATCAATGCTAAAAAGTCTTCACCATTTCATCTGGCTCCTTCAACCTTATCTCAATAATTAAGTTCACATTATTCAACTTATCTAAGCTCATCTCCATCATTTATATCACATGGTCTATCCAATGGTTGGTATCACATCACTGAGTCATCTTAACCCATATTTCAACCATTGGTTCCACATGTATCTAAGTTCAAGTTATTTAGTAATGCAAATTATAATGCCTTGGCTATGTTGCATAACTATAGGCCTAGTTATTAGGTTACTATGTGAGTTCTATTAAAGGTTAGCCAACGAACTTGTCATATGATCATGTTGTTGGTAGAGCATCAAGTCATTCAATATAATTATACTGATAGGTTACAATACAAAGACTTTCAATGGTGTCAAATTAACCTTTAATAATAACTTGTCTTGATAGACATAGTCCGTATGAGTATAAGAAGAGTTGATTAAGCTAAGATCAATGTCCTAGTGCCCCAGTGTATACGATATGTAGTACGATCACTAAGTTATTAGGTAAGGATTGTTTAAAGAATCTCGAACAAATCGTTATCTATACTATTTAGGTCGACTTTGATTTTTCTTGGTCAAAATGTATGCAATTTTGCATAGTTTGTCATCAAAGTTTGAATCTTTATAAATAACTTAATATGAAACTCCAAACCCACAAACCCATTAAAATGAAAACATTAAAGTCCTCAGTAATTTTGGTGCTATCATTTTCATTTCTTCTGGTTTTCGCTTCTGCAAAAACAGCTACTGAAAATTTCGTTCAATGTCTTCTCCGCCGCTCTCCGCCGTCCTACCCTATTGCTCCGGCGATCTTTACACCCAACAATCATTCTTATTCCTCTGTTCTTCAGACTTACATTCAAAACTTGAGATTCAACACTTCAACAACTCCTAAGCCATTCCTTATTCTCACAGCTCTCCATGAATATCATGTTAGAATTGCAATTCTATGTGCTCGAATCGATAATCTTCTGATGAAGATTCGTAGCGGCGGCCACGATTACGAGGGAGTTTCTTACGTCTCCGACATTGTCCCTTTCTTCATTCTTGATATGTTCAACCTCCGAAGAATCTCTATTGATATAAAAACCGAGACGGCTTGGGTATTTTTATCGATACTCATTTACTTTATTAGGAATCACGACTCTTCACAATAGCATGGTATTGTCAACTTTGTGCATAAGTTCGCAATGGAGATAGTATTCCTTGCTTATAAACCGATGATCATTCCCTGAATTAACCAACGTGGGACTCCCTTCCAACCATTCTCGACGCACTTCACTCATGGGCTTGAAAATTAGGATAGGATTACGAGCGAGAATAATGTTAATTAAAAAAAAAATGAACATGACATCATTTTTAAGAAACTTTTGACATCATTTATTTATATTCTTTATGATCAGGTTCAAACAGGAGCCACCATAGGAGAAGTGTTTTATAAAATTGCAGAGGAAAGCAAGCTCCATGGCTTCCCGGCCGGAGTGTGCCCTACGATGGGTGTCGGTGGCCATTTGAGCGGTGGCGGGTACGGTAACATGATGAGGAAACATGGCCTCACGGTGGATCAATTCATCGACGCGAAGATAATCGACGTAAACGGGAAGCTTCTCGACCGAAAAGCAATGGGGGAGGATCTATTCTGGGCCATCACAGGCGGCGGAGGATCAAGCTTCGGAGTCGTTGTAGCGTACAAAATCCGATTGGTTCGTGTACCGGAGACGGTAACGGTGTTCAGAGTAAGAAGAACGTTGGAAGAGAATGAGTTGACGGAGATAGTAGATGAGTGGCAGCGGGTGGCACATGTGATTGACAATGATTTGTTCATAAGGGTTACGTTTGATGTTGTAAATGGAACACACAAGGGAAACAAGACACTGAGAGCAACGTTTCTAGCCATGTTCCTCGGAGATTCCCAAACCCTTTTGTCTCTCATCAACAACAGCTTCCCTAAATTGGGTTTGAAGAAACCTGATTGCCTTGAAATGAGTTGGATTGAATCAGTGCTTTTTTGGACAGATGGTAAACTCCCTTTTTACTCCCAAATTTATGATCAAATTTTATCGAAATGGAAGCTTACGGTTTCATGTTTTATCAAATTTTATCGAAATTTCATTCAAATATATCGATTTTTCTTGGAAGCTTACGGTTTCATGTTTTATTCCACTCCCTGATCGAGTTACATAGAAACATCTGTGAATGCCCTATTGAACCGAATGACGGGACGGATCCACCTAAAAAGAAAGTCGGACTATGTGAAAACCCTAATTCCAAAGAAAGGATTTAACAAAATATGGAAGAAAATGATAGAACTTGAAAAACCCATGATGAAATTCAACCCCTATGGTGGAAGAATGGGTGAGATTGCATCAAATGCAACTCCATTTCCTCATAGAGCTGGAAACTTATGGAAGATCCAGTACACAACAAACTGGAATGAAGAAGGAAGCCGACAAGCCGACCATTTGATAGACTTGACGAGGAAACTTCACAAGTTTATGACACCCTTTGTGTCCAAGAATCCAAGAACAGCGTTTTTGAACTATAGAGATCTTGATATTGGTGTAACCCATAATGGGAAGAAGAGTTACTATGAAGGGAGGGGCTATGGAATCAAATATTTTGAAGGCAACTTTGAGAGGTTGGTGAAGATCAAGACCAAGGTTGATCCTGACAACTTTTTTAGGAATGAACAAAGCATTCCAAGATTTCCACATGTTTGAAGATCAAAGTTGGCTGTGTTCTTTCTATGTTGTCGCTTGTCTTGTTCTTGTTTGTCATATGAAAATAAGTTGTCCTTTTGTTTTTTGTTTTTTTTTTTTTTTTTCTGTTCTTATAAATATAACGAATGCCCAAAAAACTATGAAAATAAGGCATTCTATTATTGTGAAATATTATACATTTCTAATTTTTAAGAGTTTCAATACTATCTTTTTATTTTTTTAAAAATTTAAAATATATCCTTACAATTAGTTTTTTTTTTTTTTTATCAAAGCTATTACTAATTTATTATAAATAATTATATGGCTCTGATATCATTTGTAACGTTTGAAGTCCACTACTAATAGATATTGTCCGCTTTGGTCCATTATGTATCACCGTTAGTTTCATGGTTTTAAAATGTGTCAGTATGGAGAGGTTTCTGCCCCCTTATAAGTAATACTTCGTTCTTCTCTCTAACCGATGTGGGATCTTAGAATTCACCCCCTTGAGGGCGAGCGTCATTGTTGGCACACCGCCTAATGTCTGGCTATGATATCATTTGTAATTAGCCCAAGCCCACTACTAACAAATATTGTTCGCTTTGACCTGTTACGTATTGTTGTCAATCATACACGTTTTAAAACTGTGAGACTGACGACGATACGTAACAGGTCAAAGTGGACAATATCCATTAATAGTGTGCTTGGACTCTAGCGTCTTCACTGGCACACTACTCAATGTCTAGCTTTGATACCACTTGTAACAGCTCAAACCCACCGCTAACAAATAATGTCCGCTTTGGCCCGTTACGTATCACCATCAGCCTCACGGTTGTATGACTGACAACTATATGTAACAGGCCAAAATAGATAATATCTATCAGTAGTGAGCTTGAGCCGTTACAATTTTATTCAAATTCTAAAATTAAAAAAAATTAAAAAAAATTAAAAAAAATTAAAAAAAATTAAAAAAATACTATAAGAGAGCTTATAGTTTGGTGACTGCTAGTAGCGTTCGATATCACTAGAGCCCGTCGATCTGTCTCCTATTTTTTGGTGACCTAGGTTAGACGAGTAGTGTCCTTGTTAGACGACATGTATTTAGGAACCCATACCATCAAGTTTGGCCAAGACCAAATAGGATGGCATGTTGAGGTGACTTGTAAAGCTACTATTGAATGTAGAAACAAGTCGAGAGCTTAGGTTGTAATTCGTAAACATGCCTTGAGAGGGGCAGGAGACTACACAGGTAGTGTAGCTCATGATAGGTGCCACTATCGTGTGTGGAGTAGTCAAGAGTCCTTTGAACAGTCTCGTTGTACTATAAACCCCCCTTGAGAGAGGTGAGGGACTAAATGGATAAACGGAACAATTGACAAGTACATGGGATTGCTCCCTCAGATGTTGACCGTATCGATTTTCCAATGAAAGGGTCGGCAATTAACATTACATAGATGTGTTCTCACAAAGATACTTCCAAAGATAGCACTCTTCTTAAACCACACACATGACACAACCCAACCTCACTACATGTGCGCGCCCCTTTGTCAGCTTCTCACAAAAAGTTAAACAATTGCGTGGTAGCCAAGTATTGGTCTTTATGGGGCACCGCCAATGCCTCCCCCAATCATTCATTTTTCTCTTCTTTGCTTGCTCCCAAATCATTCATTCTTCTATTAAAACCCTAAACCCATTTGTTTTTCTTCACCACAATGAACATTCCTTCAAGCTTCTTGGCTCTCACCTTCGCTTCCATACTCACTTTAGAAACATGGGAATCTTCAGCCAATGAGCACCTTCACTTTCTCCGCTGCCTTTCTCTTCATTCCCCAAACGGCGATGACTCAATTTCCAACCTCATTTACCCTCAAACCAACTCTTCATTCTCTTCTATTTTGAACTTCTCCCTTCGAAATCTAAGATTCTCCACGCCCACCACCCCCAAGCCGCTTCTAATCGTCACACCCTCACAACCATTCCATGTCCAAGCCTTAGTTATTTGCTGCAAAGCCCATGGCTTTCAGATTCGAATTCGAAGCGGCGGCCATGACTACGAGGGTCTTTCTTATGTTTCTGATGTCCCCTTTGTGTTAGTGGACTTGGGTGAGTTTAGATCGATAGCCATTGATATTGAGAACAATACTGCATGGGTTCAGTCTGGTGCGACTCTTGGCGAGCTGCATTATAGGATTGCTGAGAAGAGCCAAACTCTTGCCTTTCCGGCTGGTGGTTGCCCGACTGTTGGAGTTGGAGGACATTTCAGTGGCGGCGGGCATGGTGGGTTGGTTAGGAAGTATGGTCTGGCTGCTGATCATGTGATTGATGCCATTTTGGTTGATGCAAATGGGATGGTTTTGGATAGAAAATTAATGGGGGAGGATTTGTTTTGGGCGATTAGAGGCGGTGGAGGTGGTAGCTTTGGGATTGTTTTGTCGTGGAAGATAAGGTTGGTTTCAATTCCTCCAATTGTGACAGTTTTTACAGTTAATAGGGAATTGGATGAGGATACTCTTAAGTTGATCCATAGGTGGCAATATGTTGCAAGCAAAGTTGATGAGAATCTGTTTATTGGTATCACATTGAGCACTGGTATGGTAATACTGTTGTTATAAATTTCATTTATAACGTGTGAGATCTTACATTTGTTGGAGAGGGGGATGAAGAATTCTTTATAAAGGTGTGGAAACCTCTCAGTAGACGTGTTTTAAAAACTTTTAGAGGAAGCCGAGCTTGGGTTGTCACAAATGGTATCAGAGCCAGACACCAAGTGGTGTGCCAGCAAGAACGCTGGGCTCCGGAGGGGGTGGATTGTGAGATCCCACCTCGGTGGGGAGGGAAATGAAACATTCTTTATAAGGGTGTGGAAACCTCTCCCTAATAGATGCGTTTTAAAAATCTTGAAGGGAAGCTCGGTAGGCTTGGGCTGTTACAAATGGTATCAAAACCAGACACCGGGAGGTGTGCCAGCAAGGACGCTGAGCCCCAAAGGGGTGAATTGTGAGATCTCACCTCGGTTGGAGAGGGAAATGAAACACTCTTTATAAGGGTGTGGAAACCTCTCCCTAGCAGATGCGTTTTAAAAATCTTGAAGGGAAGCTCGGTAGGCTTGGGCTGTTACAAATGGTATCAAAACCAGACACCGGGAGGTGTGCCAACAAGGACGCTGAGCCTCGAAGGGGTAGATTGTGAGATCTCACATCGGTTGGAGAGGGAAACAAAACATTCTTTGTAAAGGTGTGGAAACCTCTCCCGGTAGGCTTGAGCTGTTACAAATGGTATCACAGCCAGACACTGGGGGGTGTGCCAGCGAGGAATTGTGAGATCGCATATTGATTGGAGAGGAGAACGAAACATTCTTATAAGAGTGTAGAAACCTCTCCTTAGCAAACGCTAGTACAATATCACAATATCTACTAGCACTACTAGCGGTAGGCTTGGACGATTACAATGCTATAATTTCTACTTATAAATTTTGAAGTTGTATCAATTTTCACCGAAATTATCAATTTCACCCAACCCTCTTAGCAAACAAGTTACCGAAGTCCTAAACCCGAATTTTTTGTTTCAAACAGGTCCTAACTCGGAAGAAAGGCAAAGAACAAGAACTAGAACTAGAACGGTGAATGCGTCATTCTTTTCTCTATTTCTTGGCAAAGCCAACGATCTCCTTTCCATCATGCAACAAAGCTTCCCAGAGCTAGAATTAGCAAAACAAGATTGCATAGAAAAGAGCTGGATAGAATCCAACCTCATTTTAGCTGGCTTTACAAACAGAGAGTCCTTAGAAGAAGCTCTCCTCAACAGAAGCACCACACCATCCTTCATTGGAGCCTACAAAGTTAAATCAGATTATGTGAAGGAACCCATCTCACAAACTGGCTTACCAGGGGTTTGGCACATGCTAAGAACCACAGACATTGACTCAGCTTCAATTGTGTTGCTCCCTTATGGAGGAAAAATGAACGAAATTTCCGAGTTGGAAATTCCATACCCACATAGAGCTGGTTATGTATTCAAAATTGGATACTTTATTGTGTGGAAAGAGCGAGGAGTTGATGCAGCTGAGAAGCACTTGAATTGGAGTAGAGAAGTTTATGATTTCATGGCTCCTTTTGTTTCCAAGCCTCCAAGATGTGCATATGTGAATTATAGAGACCTTGATCTTGGAAGGAATAATGAGTTTGGGAAAGGTAGGAGCTACAAGGAAGCAAGCATTTGGGGAGTGAAGTATTTTGGGAACAATTTCAAGAGATTAGTGCAAGTCAAAACTAGGGTTGATCCTCATGATTTCTTCAAGCATGAGCAAAGCATTCCCTCTTATGTACTTTATTAGGTGGTGAGAATTGAGGTTGATGCTTGGCTATTTGGCTATTCATGTGTTGCTATGATCTATTAAGATTGCTATCATCATGAGATGGTAAAAATGTTGAATATAGTACTCATTCTATAAGGCAATTTTTAATAGCACTATGTGGAGAACTTTATGAACATAGAAGAAGAAATTAGACATAAAGTTATGTTCACGCACAATCGTCGATCTCTATTAGAATGACAACGATCTCGAGCTTTGAAAGTCTATTTCATCTCTCCAATAAACTCATTGGTCTTCCCAAATTGTGTAAGTTCGAATTAGAGCTTTTGTTCAGAAATTATGAATTTATAGGTCACAACATCGAGATCTTGACTCAAAAACTCGTTTTTAATTATGAAAAATTAAGGTAGCGTTGAGATATTATGGCTGAAAAACATCTTCATGCATGTTTCAAGAGTTGAACGACATTGAGTGTGATATTGTAACATTGAGCTGATAGAGTGCCTTATCATAAGCAACGCCTCAACGTTATCTGTGTAGGTCATCTGGCTTCACTGATGAACTATCCAGGGGTTTTACTCTAGGCCCTAAGAGGTTCGAGTCCAATCTCTACTGCTCTCTGAGTATTTGGGGTGTCTAAAAGTTTTGAGCAGATCTCTAATCTAAATTTTACCCCTAGGAGTCTATATAGGTTTTCAAACTTTTGTATTCTTTTACATACGAAACATGTTTTGCCTATGCAGCGTAATGACCAACGTCTTGAGTTGATGTGTTACCTTATGAAGAATAGCATTCATGGAAGTTTAGCAGGTGGACCCTCTCACATGACCATAAAGTCACCTAAGTTTGGGGTACCTAGTTGTCTCGATGCACTTCCCTAACTTGCCTAGGTCTAGCTCAATAGTCCTGTTACTAGAGTGGAAAGGGTAGCAGAAACTCTAATAGCATCGTTCTTACTGCAAATAGCCTAGAGAGGTACCTTAGTCTTTTTTGGATGCTACAAAAATCTACTAGGTTCTTGGGGGCATCTAGACAGTTTAATTCTTATCTTGCATTTCTAGAAGACTCAGGACTAGCTTTATGGGGCTAATCCAATCTCTAGGTACACTCAAGTCTAGACCTCTAATCATTTCTCACAATTCTAGGGTGCACGGTCTACTAAAAATGTCGTGACCTAAGTCAACGTGTAAATTGCTCTAGCTGTAACACCCTTTAATCTTAACTTGGTTCACTCATGCATGCTTATTAGGGAGATATTCCTATCGATCACCTAAAGCATAAAAGGCATATTCTAGGCATCACCTTAGTCATCTCTAGGTGTTGAGAAGGTCTTTTAGGCCTTTAAGGCAGCTAGGTAATTTAATGCAACTTTCAATTCTAGGGTACAATGTTCTAACTAACTCCTGGAGTCTTTCTTAGTCTCGAAGCACTAGAGTCAAACAATTTGAAAGTTTGATATGTGAGAATTATGAGATTTTAACTATTAATATATAACGCATTGTAGGTAAGTAGAATTTTTTTAAAATAATTAAAAAAATACAACTCAACCATCCGAACCAACCCAACCCTAAAGTAACCTTAAAGTCGGGTTGTAAACTCGATTTAGATTATTCGGGTCACCAACTCGAAATTTTAAGTTTGTCCAAAATACTTTTCTAACCCAAACCAACCCATCCCGTATTAAGGTTACTTTTCGGTCTATGAAAAAATAATTCAAAATTTATTAAACAATTTCAGTCAATATATATATATATTCAACACCTAACATAATTATTAATCTTGTTCTACTCAATTGACCACATTAATATTGGACATTAAAATAAATAAAATGAAGAACTATTCAAAATCCTCAAATTTAATTAAAATAAACCTATGCTTCAAGATTAAGCTTATACAATCTTGCTTCATATAAATAAGTAATTATTTTTACTAATATATTCAACATGATATACCTTTTTATTTTACAATAAGAAAAGTAAACCATCATTAAATAACAATTTGATTTTTATTTTTTAAAATTAATTTTTTAATATTTTCAAAAATCTAAAGTCAAAATTTGAAAAAGTCTAAAGTTATTTTTTGTTAAAAAATGAAATTGGATTAAAATTCAAATCTTCATTTAACAAATATGAAAATTAAAATAATTAAAGATGAAGTTGAGCTCAAAGTAACTCGAGCTTGAGGCAAACTGTTAGAGAGTTTGTTCAGTCTTAAATTTTAGAGAAGAGAGATCAAAGCTTAGAATACGCATATGACAAGATAAATCTACGCTAAAAAGTCCACTGACTCAATTAATCAGGTTCAACCTATCTCGAGAAACCCTAGCTCTTTCTCCTAATAAGTACACTAGATTATAATTCTACAAACCTCTAAACCAACTTAAGCTTCGAAAATCACTTTAGTGGATCTTTCCCAATTCCACGAACTGAACTCGTTCATCTGCACATCTCAACTGAACCAAACAGCTTATAGTCGTATTCTCATTATAGCCGATAACGATGTTCCTCTTGGTTAAATATTTCTTTTTCGATTCATCTCTAGAGTTAAATATCTCATTCAAGAATTGTTTTTGATCAAATCCGTAGAAATCATTGAAAAAAAATGGAAAATCTCTTATGATATACCAAATCGGGCTCGATTATTGATAGAGTGAATAGATCTGTTATTTCTTGAAATCTCTCTTTTGATTCAAAATTGTGGTGTAACGAGTGGAGAGAGCGAAGACTCTCGTTTTTTCTTCTCATATAAATTATTTATTTATTATTTTAGAAAATAAATTCCTTAGTATAGGTTTGACAAATGTCGTTGTTTCAACTACCAAATGCATGAGAAATAGTCAAATGAATAATAATAATAATAATAATAATAATAAATATGAATAATTAAAATATTTATCAATCTTTTCTACCTTATCATAAACTAAAATAATGATGCCACTGAAAGCAACTAAATTCATAAATAATTACCGACTTTATAAAGCTTAAAAGAGACTTAAGCTTCTATAATCTCATTATAATGTTGGTTGATAAAGCTCTAGAACAAAAATTATTTCTAACCCTTTAATTACGAGTATCCTTACAATGGAATTAGAGTATTAGAGAGACTCCATCCCTTGAGAGTAGGAAGTCAGCCAAGATGAACGATTTTTGTGAGACCCCACATCAGTTGAGGAGGATAACAAAACATTCTTTATAAAGGTGTAGAAACCTCCCTCTATCAAACACGTTTTAAAAACTCTGGGAGGAAGCTCAAAATAGAAAGCCCAAAGAGAACAATATCTACTAGCGATGGGCTTGGATCATTACAATTGGTATTAGTGCTAGACACCAGGCGGTGTACCAACAAGGATGCTGAGTCCTAAGGGGGATGGACACTGAGTGGTTTGCCAATGAGGACGTTGATCCCCTAAGGGAGTGGATTGTGAGATCCCACATCGGTTGGAAGGATAACATAACCTTTGTAAGGGTATGGAATAGCGACGGGATTGGACCATTACAATTGGTATTAGAGCTAGACACCAGGCGGTGTACCAACAAGGACGCTGAGCCCTAAGGGGGGATGGACACTAGGTGATTTGCCAATGAGAACGTTGGGCTCCGAAGGGAGTGGATTGTGAGATCCCACATCGGTTGGAATGATAACAGAACCTTTTTTTATAAGGGTGTGAAAACCTCTCCCAACAGAACAATATATGTTAGCAATGGTTCGTTTGGATGATGCAAGGTGGCTAGAATTTTTGCATCTTCTTATGTATATAAATAGAGGAACTTTAGAATCACAAAATTCATCAAACCCAACCATGAATAAGATCCCTCTAACCCTAATCTTTATTATTGTTCTATCTTCATCACCATTATGGGCTTCTCCATCACTCCACATCCATCAACACTTTCTTCATTGCCTCTCACACCATTCTCCACACACTTATCCCATCTCCAAACTAGTTTACACTCCCATAAACTCTTCATATTCATCTGTTTTGAACTTCTCCATTAGAAACCTCATATTTTCAAACCCTCAAACACCAAAGCCACTCCTCATCATAACACCCTCACACATTTCCCACATCCAAGCAGCCGTCATATGCTCCAAAGCCCATGACCTACAAATCCGAACATGAAGCGGCGGTCATGATTTCGAGGGTCTTTCTTACGTCGCCGATCAACCATTCATCATTGTTGACCTAATAAATCTAAGGTCCATTAATGTCGGACGTTCAAACCAACACCGCATGGGTTCAATCAGGAGCCACTTTGGGTGAGCTTTATTATAGAATTGGTGAGAAAAGTAGGAGCTTGGCGTTCCCGGCGGGGATTTGTCCGACGGTGGGGGTTGGTGGGCATTTCAGTGGCGGTGGATATGGGTTGATGCTGAGGAAATATGGGCTTGCTGCTGATAATGTGGTGGATGCTTATTTGGTTGATGCTAATGGGAGGGTTCATGATAGAGAGTCGATGGGGGAGGATTTGTTTTGGGCCATTAGAGGTGGCGGCGGAGGGAGCTTTGGTATTGTGGTGGCGTGGAAGGTCAAGTTGGTTGTGGTTCCGGCGGTTGTGACCATGTGCTCGACGAATAGAGATGTGGAGGACGATGCAATCAAGCTAATACATCGGTGGCAATATGTGGCTAACCAATTGGATGATAATCTTTTCCTTGGCATCCTTTTGACTGGTATTGTTTATGAGTTATTTTTTCTTTCTTTTCTTTGAAAAATATGATCCTTAAATTAATATTATAATGTCAAGTAAACCACACGACATAGTTTTAATTAGATTGAAATTTGTTTGTTGGTTTGTTTTTTTGTTTTGTTTTTATTTCAATTAGTTTCGGGACTTCCCTTCAAGGGTTTAAAACGCGTATGCTAAGAAGAGGGGCATATCACCCGGTGTCTGTCCCTTCAAGGGTTTAAAATGCATTTGTTAGAGAGGTTTCCACGTCCTTATAAATAATGTTGTGTGGAAATGTTCTCATTGATACACCGCCCCGTGTCCGGCTCTGATACCATTTGTAACCACTCAAACTCATTGTTAGCGGATACTGTCCTCTTTGGCTTTCCCTTCTAGGGTTTTCCCTCAAAGTTTTAAAACGCGTCAGCTAGTGAGAGGTTTTCACACTCCTAAAACAAATACTTTATTTCCTCTCCAGCCGAGGTGGATCTCGTAATATATTTATATTTATATATAAAAAGTGAGTCAAGCGGGAATTTGGGCTGAGTCAAGGGCAAGATCGAGGATGAAGAATATATCCTCTTCACCGACCCCTTTTCGTTAACAGATAGATATTTCCTCATTCATTCTCTCATTCCTAGTTTAAACTACTCCGTTTGGGGCAGGTCCACTTAAAGCTCTAACCCTGATGGTTAAATCGACATCTCCTACATAAATATGTATGAAAGAAAAAATATATAAAATAATAGTTCATATGGACGAAAAAGTTAATAGTTAACCTTTAATAAATCTAACTCCTATTTCGATCTATAAAACTTTTCCGAAAATGAGTTCTTTTTTCCTTGAACCACCAAGAACGTAAAATTTTTAATGATTTGAACTCAATTCTTACTGATTTATACATGTAGGTGGGAATTTTTCGACTCGAGAAGGCATAACGAACCCAACAGCCACATTCTTCTCTTTATATCTCGGAAAGCTAGACGAGCTTATAGCCATATTAAAAACAACTTTTCCCGAATTAGGTTTAACAAAAAAAGACTGTGTAGAATCGAGTTGGATCCAATCAACCCTAATAGCGTCCACAGGGGTTCAAACCTTCGAGCCCCTAGAAGCTTTACTCAATAGAACACCCCCGACCATCGAAAGCACCAAATTCAAATCCGATTACGTCAAGGACCCAATTCCCGAGGCGGCAATCGAGGGCATATGGCAAAGATTAAAAGCTCAAGACATAGAAGTTCCACAAATCTTATTCATTCCTTATGGAGGTAGAATGAGCCAAATTTCAGAGTCCGAAACTCCATTTTCACATAGAGCTGGAAATCTCTACAAGATTGGATATGCTGTATCATGGAAAGAACAAAGTTTAGATGCAAAGAACAGGCACATAAATTGGATACGAGAGGTGTATGAATACATAACTCCTTTTGTTTCAAAATCACCAAGGGCTGCGTATGTCAATTATAGAGATCTTGATATTGGTACCAATAATAAGTATGGCAAGACAAGCTACGAGCAAGCCAGCATTTGGGGCATGAAGTACTTTGGTAACAATTTTAATAGGCTTGTGTATGTTAAAACTATGGTGGATTCTCATGATTTCTTTAGGCACGAACAAAGTATACCCGTAAAACTTGCTTGATATTAGCTTCGAAAGTGTTTCAAACCGTATTCGTGTAGCAAAATAATGGGTTTTGAGTAGCTTATATGTACGCTTATTAGTCACTTTGTTTTAACGTGTTCGGCTTATAGTAATCAAATCAAAGTCTTAATTTTGTGTTTATTGTTGGATGATGAAAGTCTCATATCAGCTAATTTAGGAATGATCATGAGTTTATAATCAAGGAATACTCTCTCCATTGGTACGAGGCCTTTTGGGGGAAGCCCAAAGCAAAGCCATGAGAGCTTACGCTCAAAGGGAACAATATCATACTATTGTGGAGAGTCGTGATTCCTAACATGATATCATAACCATGCCCTAAAACGCTCTAAAACGCCCTAAAACTTAATCGTGCCAATAGATTGATAAATCCTCAAATGTCGAACAAAGAACTCCAAAAGAAAAGGAGTCGAGTCTCGATTAAGGAGAGGCTAAGATCAAAATATTATAACATAATTGAAATTTATGGAATTATGGACTAAAATAATTTTAAAAATTGGTTAGTTGAGATATCAAATTTCTTTTTTAAAACCTTTTTTAATCCAAAGATTTTTTTGAATATATTATCTTTCCAATCTAAGATTCTATTTTTCTTTTCTTTTTTTAAATAATTAATTTCATCCAATACTTTCAATACCTAATTATTATTCATTTGAACTTTTTGGCCAATAATGGTTATTTAATTAAGCGATGAATATTTTATTAATGAAGCTATTACAATAGAAGTCACGTATAGACAAGAGCAATAATGATTCAAAATAATTATATCAATTATGCATAATGAATTCATTATATTTAAAATATGATAATTAAAAAATATTTAAAATAATTAATAATTTCGTAAAGCCAAATTATTCTAATGGCAATGCTTCAAACCCAAAATTCAGACTTAAATTCATATTCAACATTTGATAATCTCGACATTCCCCTACATCCCTTCTGTCATGACCACGTTACCTACTTGACTTGTCTCGAAGTGTTTTTAAGAGTAAAGAACACGAGACATTTCAACATGTTTTATCCTCATGTTGTAGTAAAACACTCGACATAAGATTTCTCCGAGCTAAGTAGGCACAAGCCACTTGTCTTTCAATTCTTTTAAGAAAATCTCTCTCATTTGAATGTAATATCGTTCGTTCATGTATCTGTGTTTTACTTGAGTTTCCTTGTTGATTATCTCCGAACCATATCGTACTCGGAAACCACTATAAAAAGTAAAGCTTTCCAGCACAAAAACCTCCAACCTAGCCATGAAATCTTCTCCATTAACCCTTCTTTCACTTACCTTCATTGTTCTATGTTCATCTTCCTTATGGGCTGCACCTTCTTCCAACCAAAACAAGGACTTTCTTCAATGTCTTCTCCATCATTCTCCAGACACTCACTCCATAACCAAGCTTGTTTACACTCCCATCAACGCCTCCTATTCATCTCTCTTGAATTTCTCCATTAAAAACCTTAGATTTTCAACGCCCAAAACCCCAAAGCCACTTGCAATCATAACCCCATCAAACATTCCCCACATCCAAGCAGCCATCATATGCTCCAAATCCCATGGCCTTCAAATCCGTATTCGAAGTGGCGGTCATGACCTCGAGGGGCTTTCTTATGTTGCCCATGTCCCTTTCATCGTCGTTGATTTGATTAATTTGAGCTCGGTCGAGGTCGATGTCGAGAAAAATACTGCGTGGGTTCAGTCCGGGGCGAGTCTTGGTGAACTTTACTATAGAATTGCTGAGAAAAGCCGGACGTTGACGTTTCCGGCAGGGCTTTGTCCGACGGTTGGTGTTGGTGGGCAGTTTAGTGGCGGTGGGTATGGGATGTTGATGAGGAAATATGGTCTTGCGGCGGATAATGTGGTGGATGCTTACTTGGTTGATGGTAATGGGGAGTTTTTTGATAGAGAGGGTATGGGGGAGGAGTTGTTTTGGGCTATTAGAGGCGGCGGTGGAGGGAGCTTTGGGGTTGTTGTGGCGTGGAAGGTGAAGCTGGTTCCGGTTCCGGCGACTGTAACGGTTTGTGCAACTAGCAAGAGTTTGGTGGATGGTGCAATTAGCCTCATTGATAAGTGGCAATATGTGGCTGACAAATTGGATGAAAATTTATTCCTTGGCATCATTTTGGCTGGTATTGTTTCCATGGTTTGATTGAGTTTAATTTGTGTATATTTTTCTTGTTTACTGATGTAAGCAGATATTGTCTTTTTTGGACTTTTATTTAGGGCTTTTAAGTTTTTAAAAAGGAAGGTTTACACACGAATGATTCGTTCCCCTGGATCTCACAATCCACCTTAGGTTGTTACAAATGTTAACAGGGCCCGACACTGGGCACCACCGAGGAGGTTGAGTCCTGAAGAGGGTGGACACGATGCAGTGTGCCAACAAGAACGCTAGGCCTTGAAGGTTGTGGATTGGAGTGTCCCACGTCGATTAGAGAAATGAAGGAGTGTTAGCAAAGACGCTGACCCCGAAAAAGTGTGGATTGTGAGATCTCACATCAGTTAATGAGGAGAACGAATCATTCTTTACAAGGGTGGGGCTGAGCATGAAGGGGGTGGACACGAGGCGGTGTGCCAACAAGAACACTGGCCCCAAAGGGTGTGGATTAGGGGGTCCCACATTGATTGGAGAAGGGAATGAGTGTCAGCAAGCCCCGAAGGACAATGTACACAAAGCAGTGTGCCAGCAAAAACGTTGGGCCTCGAAGAACGTAGAGATTGGGGATCCCACATCGATTAGAGAAAGAAACTAGTGCTAGCGAAGACATTGGGACCTGAAGAGGTGGGACCACATCAGTTGGAGGAGGAGAACGAATCATTCTTTACAAGGGTGTGGAAACCTCTCCGTATCAAACCCATTTTAGTCTGAAATATAAAGTTAAAAGAAGAAAATATCGGCTAGCGGGTAGCGTATTGTTCATTACAATTACAATTGATGATTTGATGATTTGAGCTCAATTCTTGATGATAGGAGGAGGCAAAACAAACCCATTAGCTATATTCTTCTCCTTGTTTCTCGGAAAGGCAGACGAGCTCGTGACAATACTAAACAACGCGTTTCCGGAACTGGGTTTACCAAAAGGAGACTGCATAGAAACGAGCTGGATAGAAGCAGCCCTTATAGCAGCCAACGGGTTCCAAACCGGCGAGGTCTTAGAAGCCCTGCTCAATAGATCAGCCCTGATACCACCAATCAACAGCGGCAAAAGCAAAACCAAATCCGACTATGTCAAGGAGCCCATGACTAGAACAGCAATCGAGGGCATGTGGAACAGATCAAAGTCTCAAGAAATAGAAAGGGCAAGCCTTGTATTCATCCCATATGGAGGAAAAATGAGTGAAATTTCAGAGTCAGAAATTCCTTTCCCACATAGAGCTGGAAATCGATACGAGATCGATTACATTGTCGGGTGGGACGAGCAAGGCGTGCATGCAGAGAAAAGACACTTAAATTGGATACGAGAGCTTTACAGCTATATGGCTCCTTTTGTGTCGAAATCGCCGAGGGCTGCGTATGTCAATTGTAGAGACCTTGACATTGGATCAAACGACATGTATGGACGAACAAGCTATCAGCGAGCACGAGTTTGGGGTTTGAAGTATTTTGGCAACAATTTTGATAGGTTGGCGCATGTCAAGACTGAAGTGGATCCTTATGATTTCTTTAGGCATGAACAAAGCATACCCACTCTTTCCCCAACTCAAGAATTTAGCAAAATAGTTGAACAATGTGATGTTTTGTTTTACATTTATTCTAAACTATGCCCCAACGACCGCTAGGCTAAATGGGTCGATGAAAGTGGAAATATTATTAGAAATAAAGCTAGATTTGTAGTTCGAGAGGAATGTATTGACAATGAAAATAATTTCATGCTCGTTACTGATTAAAAGCTAATAACAAAACTTGAAAGAACTGAAAGTCACTACATATATCAACAAAGTGCATCATTCTTTTCAGTGTCTTAATTATAGGAGTTTCATGATTAAGCGTGTTTTTCTTAGAACAATTTTAGGTCGAATGACCTCTTGAAAATTTTTCTAGCTAGGATGCGTGTGAGTGAGGATAAAGCATGCTAGAATGACTCGTATTGATCAGTGTGGATAGCTTTTACTCTTAGAAGCGATAAATAAGTAACGTGACCAAGTTGCATGGAAATGTTGGGATCATCAAGTGTCAAATCCTTATCTAAATCCTAGGTACGAGACATTACAAAGTTCTGGAGAATGATTTTGAAATGGGTAAACTTAATACTATTCTTTTCATTAAGACTACGGAAAAGAATATATTTTTAGTGCAAATATATATGGATGATATTATATTTGATTGCACTAATTCTTTTTCGTATGAGGAATTTTCTAAGTATATTCCTAATAAACTTGACATGATCGATCTTACTTGTGAAGTGATTCGAATCTCAATCAAGTGTTCTTGCCTTGAGATATTTGATTAACAAATTAATCCGAGTTTTACTCTTCCTTTGAGTGATTTCTTATCATTAAGGCTAAGCGTTCTTACCTTTTCTTTAGCTAAGGCTAAATTTCTTTGCAATTTTATATAATTTAGGTTCCATGTTTAAAATCATTCAAACTTGACATGATTGATCTTGTTTGTAGAGTGATTCAAATCTCAAATAAGTGCTCTTGCTTAATACATTCGATCAATCTGAATCTTACTTCCATTGTAGTGATTTTTTATCAATATATTTTACTTTGATTTAGGTGAGTAATTATCCTAAAGCTCCTCGCTTACAATCCACTAAACTAATCAAGAGGCTAATGTGTTTTTAAAAGAAATCTATTTTCCTTATTTTTCTCAAAATTTAGTTTCACGACCAAATTTTTCGAGAATTCGAATGTAATCACTCCCACCCATTTCTCATTCTCAAACATAGTTAAATGTTGAGTTGTTGCAGTCGAACTATGCTCGGTTGAACACAATTCTTTGTGGAAAACACTCATTCTCTTTGTTAAGACCAATCGAAAA